CCTAAATCCTTCTCTTCAGGGCTACTAATCGATGGCAACTACGTACCGAATGACGGTGAACTTGATGAACTCTGCCGATTCCAAAATCTTCCTCATGGAGCTGATCTCCAGATAACTGGGAGCTTTGAACGACACGCCAGGAGGCAACCCGTCCACCACCACGCAGCCAGGGTTGATCGTGATTTTTCTGTACGGGACTCTCACAGGAAAACCCATACCGACGGCTTCACCTAATTCAGAGAGAGGTCACGGTGATTTTTCAAGTCTACATATTTCTGGTTACAGCAGAGAAGAAATCCTCAGACAATTAAGAAATTACATGCAAAGCCAAGCTTTCTATCAGATCTGAAATAGTGAAAATTCACTTGACAGTGTTAGAAATAGATGTTTTGGATTACACTCATGAACATCACTACACGAGTATTAGTTACAACTCCAACTCTGACAGCTCCCCATATAAAGAACCCAGACTCTGTTTTTAATTTTAAAAAAGGCATAGAACAGGATATCTAAGGAAAGAGCTAAGTGAAGGAAAACTAAGTGTTTCCTGCAATGCCACAAAAAGCAACTAAACACAGCACTAGTGAGGGAATTTCAGACAAAGAAACTCAGGTCATTACTGCTGTATAGTGCAAATACACAGTAAAAAAAGAAAACTGGACACTGTAAAAAGGTTCAGTTGCAGTTTTATAATTACTCTAGCTCCAAGAATTAAGAGGTCAGGATTACAAAGCCCTATGAATAATCACAGATTGCCAGCAAAATAAGTATTTCATCCATGTTGCACAGAAAGAAAACAGGGGGGAAATATAAAACTATCTATACTTGGGATATTTTGTTAAAACACCAAACAACCTGCATCACTTGTAAAAGATTCTTTTTGAAGTCAAAGCACAAGACTGATATACAACTCTCAAATTCGTTCACTTTAATGACCATACATACTGCTACAATTCACTAACTTCAATACGAACAACATTAACTGCATTCACACCTATGTAAAAATGGGGAGTAAGGAGCAATTACCAAATTTCCGGCTAAAAAGATCATTTACTTGCTCTCTCAGATGCCTGGCCTTTTCTCCTTTTGGCAGTTGCTCACCTTCATCATCTGCAAGAAATTGTGAGAACAGCATCAGAATTACGCAGATTTTTTTCTTCCCGTTTCTCATCACACACTTACTCAAAGCAGGTGCACCCAAGTGCTTCAGAACAGGAGCTCTCTTTGTTCCTATTTTTTTTGCAGTAACACAGAATCGTAGAAATACACAAAAATAGATAGTCATTAAGAAGTCTGTGAGACGCTTCAAAGTATTGAAGCGACCAACATCAGATTTACATGTCTAGATTTTGTCAATCTAAACCTACAAGTTAATTATTTTTATTTCTTTTTTTAACAGTAGATATAATGGCAGGAAAACGTAAAAGCAAAGTGACCGTTCCATGCTGGTCACAGCACGCAAAGTTTCTCACGGGTAAGACACTCCTGCGAAAACAGTAATGGGCGTTAAGACAAAGCAGTTCAGTCTGCATGGCCATTCAGCCCAGCCCAAGTACTGATCTCTTGAAGATGCCAGGAAAAATGCAAATTAATATTTAATTTATTGCATGAGAAAAAAGAGGAAAATGTGGATACTTCTGAACTAGGGGCCGGACCAAGAGTGTTCTAGAGATGTCACTGAATGATAATTCATGTATAGAAAATAGCCAACACCCCAGCAAAACCACAACGCTAAATTACGCCCTTTGTTGACTGTATTTCAGGGAACCAGCTGGACCGTAGGAAAAATCTTCATCAGACTCAAGAAATGTCACAAAGAACATAAGCACAAAGAGTACGATGCGAAACCAGCCAGTGCCCACACCTGGGATGGTGATTTGAATGATGTTCAGATCTTCGACTCCTGCAGCTGTGCTCACAGCTGCGCCCGTTGTAGTCCTTGTAGTGTTGGCTGTATTAGATGATCTTTTATCTAGAAGTAACAGAATTAATTTTAAAAAAAAAAACACAAAAAAACCATTTGTAGAGAGCCTGAATTCTTGAATGTTTATATATAAAGTAAATATTGCAAAGTAACAGCTATTTGCAAAGCAGGCCCAATGAGACATGCTTGTTGAAGGTACACACTACTCTGTCTTTCCAACCCAAGAGGATAAAGAAATAGATCAAACATAACTTAGCTGGTTTTCTAAAATGTTTATTAAGGAAAAAATAAAATAAAATAAAATAAAATAAAATAAAATAAAATAAAATAAAATATGAAGCATGTATTTTTTGTATTTTTCACTAACAGAAAGATATAGCACTTGTGGTTAATTCAGCAGCACCTACTGACCCACGTGTTCACTATGGGCATTCAAAAAAGAAAACCCTTACAGTTATATTTGTGGCACAAACCAGCAAGTAACTCAGCAGAGTTTTGCCAGCCCACAGTAACAGATAATAAAATGACTCAAATAATTTAAGCCATGACCTGCCTGACACAATTTTCTACTGGCTCTCTGCACTCCTGTCCATGGAGCACTTGTCATTTCGATGACCTGTGTATTAGAAGCAAACCATTTATCTCTAAACATGAATTACTTCTGTGATCACACATTGCTTATTACACTTTGATAAATGGCATTAAAGGATCTAATAGAGGTATGATTATTGTGAATCATCTTTAAAATGTAATACTCCCTTGCTAAAGCTATATTCAAATTATAACTGGTAAGTGCTTTTCCCATGTTAAGAACAACAAACCACAATGTAGAATGAATCTTTCAGGAATTTGTTAACAATATGTAGTTCTCCCAATTTGTATTTAATCCCTGAATGTGGAATCTAATTTAATCCTCTTATCTAGAACATTACGTGGTTGCAAAACTCACTTTGGAGGCTTCTAGCAGAACTTTGTTTAACAGCTGCCTCAAACATCTCAGGCCTGCAAACAGATTGAAAGTTTCACATACAATAAATAAAACTATATTCATCAACATTGAAGAAAATGCAATTTTCTGCTATCAGTTTATTAAAGACAGAAACTAAGTAATGCCCTCTCAGCCAGACAGATATCCATGAACACAGTGGCTGAGAGGGTCCACAACTTCTCTTGCCGCTGTTTCTACACTGGCACATGGGTATCTACATCGATTCGAGACAAGAAAAATAAATTCTTACAAATCCCAACCTACGAATCTCCCGTTCTGAGCTCTTAGCAAACAGCCAGCAAGGTCTGTAAGTGCTCCATGCGGTAGCAACTTAAACTAGTGATGTGCTAACTGAAATGGGCTACATCTGGACTTACTCTTCCTCCCCAAACAGGCTGTGAATTTCTTTCAGAACAAAGAGATTACTGTATCTTCCTCCACCTCTACAAGAGCTTTCTGACCATTTCCTCATTTACTAAAATATTCTGATGTGTATTTTATAGAGTAATTTAGCAACTCGGCAACATTTTGGTCTACATTTCACTTCTCATAGAACAGAGTTTCAAAACCATATGGGATGCTTACTTTTTAATAATGAATTTTATCTTAGATCTGTTTCTCAGAATCTTCTCTAGTCTTGGAATTCCAAAAGTGGAAGGTCGGCGGAATGGTACCCCCTCGGGTAGTCCTTCCACAGAGAAAACCTCCGGGGAAGATTCAAACAATGTAAACGGCACCTTCACTGGTTCAGTCAGCCCCAGCGCTTCCCCTGAAATGCAACAGAGCAAGTAAGCTACCAGCTAGATAACTGATGTGATTATAAAAGGAAAGAACTCAGGTATAAGTGGTATCTAATGGTGGGCACATACAAACTAGCTTAGGAGGAACCAGCAGGCTTTGCCTTTTTTAGTGACAGCTACGAGCAGGCAGAGAGAGCACTAACAAACAGTCTCAAACATAACTCATTCTGTTGCAGTAAATTTGAGCATAATTAGCAGCTGAAAACTAATAATTTGCAGCCAGCTCATGCCACTGGCTTGGTGTGCAGACAAGACTACCCCACTTGTGCTGCACTTTGTTACAGGCAACGCGTTCTGTCCCTGTCTCTGCTAGAGAACAGAAGCAAGGGCAGGTGAGACGAGTTCCAAAAACTTCACTCAGAAGATGAATGAGAAGTCATTACTTCCTGAAGTCATCAGCTGCCAAACAGCCCGAACTGGACGCAGTGCTGGGCTGTTAAGGAGCACGACTCTCCAGATACCATCTATAGCGTATCGGGTTGTGCAGGGGCTCAAGTTGTACACAGTCCCGTTCATCGGCAGATGCGTCGGCACGTGGAGTCACTGTGTCTCTGGGTTGTTAAAGAAGTGGCAAGCCAACCACAACTTCTCCATTTCCAAACCCAAATAAAATAACAAGTGGAAATGCCACACAGAGTCAAAAGCAATCTATGCGAGAATGAATGCAAATGAGAAGCTGCCTAGAGTACCCAAGGATTGCAGGATGCTTGGAATAAACGCAAACATCTTTCTCATCCATCTAACTGCATGTTCCTAAGACAGACACCTTGGTAAAAAAGAACAAATAAACTTACCACATTTTTCACTAAAAAGATTTTCGACTTTCTGCTTTAAATCATTAATTCTGGCACTCCACGCCTCTGCCAGGAGGAAATTGGAAGAATTAAATCAACAGTCACACAATCAGGCCTTGAAGAGTATTTCAATAAATGTTTAATGAACTATTATGCTTGATAACCAATTTACTATGACAGTAAAATGTGCAAAATAGCTTTCATTCTGCAAACGACACTGAAACTATCTGCTGTAGTCTGAATCTGTATCTGTATCAATCCTAACGCTCCTAAAACTTTGAAAGATACTGCTACAAGATAAAGCAAGGGTGATTAAAATTGGAATAAATCCAAGAATGATCCAAATTTCCAGTATCAGGCAACCTTACTCATCAGAACCAGCACCCAAACCAGTGGCAGAAAGTTCTTCAGATTTTCAGTGACACATCCCTGAAAGACACTCCTCTCTTGAGAACTGTAACTTCTGTCAGAGTTTTACCTTCAGTGGTAAGATTAAACATCCAGAAGCACTTTGCTTCTGACAGTGATCAACAGCAATTCCTAAGCCAGTTTACTTGCAGCTGCACTAAGTCGTCCATAGCTGGTCTACAAAACTGAAAACTCAGTTGAAAGTTTTAAAAAGTTGCAGACTACTTTTTTTTTCTTTTTAGGTCTAACAATAACAACCAAGTTTAAGAAAACTGGACACAACTCTGCACACAAATACTGCCTGTGCCAAAAGGAGCAGTCAGACTGAATTGGTATATTAAACGCCTTCTGAACAGGTTCAGTAGGAGTAAAGAATTCCTTTCTCTCACGTTTTATGACATTATGGCTGAAAAGAAAGCTTGGGGGACAAATACAATCAAGAAAATAACAACAAATTCCAAAATAAATATAAGCAAATCAACTCAGAATGTAAGAATGCTGAAATGAAGGTTTCATAAGATTTGGGAACTGCTTAAATACAGTCGGTCATCTCACTTGACCATGAGGAATTTATCTGTGTTACAGATTGACTTCCATGCTAGAGCACCGCACAGAGAGCTCCAGTCCTCTGTGGCTAAAAGCCTCCAGCCCAATGCTCATAAGCACAACTTTGGGGCTTCCAGTCCTGTTTGGCTTTTCCTTTACTGATTTTCCAGAACAGGAGAGATCTACAAGGGCAAGAGATCATGGTTTCCTAATGTTAGTTCGAATCCTTCCTAGATCCTGCAGACCACCTGGGTATTTTTGCACAGTGATGCTCAATATTTCAAGTCAGGGAAGCACTTGTCAAGCTCATGCACAAGAACCAGATCTCAGCTGGGTTTATGTACATTTATGGTACGTGCATCAGACAAGTCCTCCAAGGCTCTGCAGCACTGTGAAATAACACAGAAGCAAAAGTCTAAAGGGACTGATTCTGAACCCAAATTAATAAGATCCAATGGACCTATGTTGCATTTGTTCAGCATTCTCCATCACCCAGGATTTCCCCAATGCAGATGACTCTACACGAGGAAGAACTGAACGTACATGAAAACAAGTACTTCAGTCATTCGCTATCTGTAGAATAAAACAAGAGTTCAAAATATCTTTGATATGCAGTCACCAGAAGTTTCAATACCAACATTAACAGAATGCATGTGTGCTAATTCCCACAACACTTACCAAAAGAAAACTCTTTTCCTTTTGTCCTGGAAGGAACGTTGGACCCATTGGTTTGAGAATTAGTCTGAATGTCTGTTGGTTTTGGTTTATTAGGACCTGTAAAAAACCATTACATATATATGTATATATATACAAAGCATAGAAGCAAGTCATCATATGAAAAGAACAATGTATCAAACTTAATTACTAGAGAAAACTTGTGAGTCAAGAGTAGAATGGAGAACACCTTAAGAAGTTCTAGGGTCTTATTTACGCAATTGATACTACTGATCCCATCCGTCACTTCTCTGCTCAGGACTACATCAGTTCCCACATCTCTGCTTGGAATAAAAGGCTCAAGCAAACCGTCAAACTCCAACTTTTTACATCATCATCGTTTGCACAGAATCCAGTAATACTCAGAAATGAAAAATAAAACTGTTTCTATACCAAAGTGTATCCCGAGCCTTGAAATGAACATGAAGTGCATGTGTAAGTTAATTATGGACTATAAAAACCAAGAACAGAAAACATTAGAAGAACAGGAGAACATTAGAAAAACATTTAATGATATTTCTTCCATACCTTCTTCAACAATAACTTCAATTTCTGGGACCCCTGAACTTCCTGCAGGACTTTTTGACCGTTTCGAACTCTTTGGACTCATTCCTGTTAGTCAACATAACACAAGGTGTAATGCACAAACCTTCTACAATGTACATTCTGCAAAGCTAGCGAAACAGCTGCTGTATTTCTGAAAATTCCAGCAGACTGAAGAATCACTCGTGTCTGTACTAAGTACAGCCTGCACTGCAAAATCTGAACAATACAGGGATGCTTCCTACTTTTGAAAAAGGCAGGTACCACACACTAATTCGGCGCAGAAGACTTGGAAGTCTGAGGAATAGCTTTGGTACCTTTCATTATCTAAATGACAAAATTATTAACTTCTGAATTTTAAAGATACACTTAAAAGGTTTCCTTATTTTATTCCTTTCTTACAAAACTTCATTGCTATTTACTTCAGTTCACAGTTGCAAGTTAAATACGAGTTAGGCCATTAATAGCAAAACAGAACTTGTAGAAATTAAGCAAATTTCATCTTCTATACTTTAATACTCTTCAGTAAAAGAAAAAGAAGTAAATAAATTCATGTTTTGAGTAACTTTTCCAAGTGATAGAAGACTGAGAAGCTAATATGCTAGATCATCTTAAATAACGCTTTTTGTTTGGAACAGCAGTATTTTTCAACCACAGAGATCTCTCAGTGTGTTAAGGAAGCAGAAGGTAAGCATTTATGAATTGATGGCAGCAAATTATAATTAATTGTTCACCTGTAGTGTTTACTTTACTAGCCAGTCCTGGAGGCAAATAAGAAGCCACAAGCTCAGGCCTGAAAGTTGAACGGAACACAATTCAATCAATTACACATTCAAGGAAAACAATACTGCAAAATGTTACAAATTTCTTGGAATACAGGTTAAGTCTCAATTTACATAATGTCACCTCTGTATATTAAAGTCTACTAGAAGCATGGGTGACCTTCCATCTACTATAACCTCAAAAAGTTAAGAATCATAAAACTACATTTTCTACTCTGTAGTTGTCTTCTGGGTTTTTCATGCAAAAAAGAATAAAAAAAAAGAAGGAAAAAAGCTTCCACATACAAGGCCATTTCCCCGCCCCCTCCCCCCCCCAACCTCGATGCATGAAACACATAATTTATGTATCTACATAAATTTAATAAGGAAGCGATACCCATTTGTGAGATAAAACACACATGCGAAATGTTCTTTCTGTTTCACGGAAACAGAATTTAGGTAGCATTTAAAGCCTAAAGTTGCTGAGAAGAAAATCAAGTAACTTCAGAAGCAGGAGCAAAAATAACTGAATTTCAAACATACTTTTTAATAACAAATTTGATCTTCTTACTGCCCCGGACAATTCTTTCAAGGCGTGGAATTCCAAACCATGTGGGACTCCTGAAGGGGACTCCTTCTGGCAAGCCTTCGACATACAAGTGGTCAGGGTTTGAGTCGAATACGGAGTAGGGAACTTTCACTGCCTCTGAAATCCCCAGAGCTTGGGCTGAAAATGAAGATATGATGATAGTTTACACGCTCGGATGGTTGGGATTTTATCTCAAGCGATTTTAAGAAGCTTGACTTACAGAAGTTGCTACTCAGAGACAGTTAAAAACCCAGGACAAATATTTCAGTAGATTTTCTATTATTTTCTGCAGAAAGAAAGTCTGAGGAGTTGCTCCACCTTGCTACAGGTAACATTAAGCCTGCATTGCCTAATGTTTTCTTCTGAGAACGTTTTTCATCCAAAATTTTTTTGTGCATATATCATCACCTCATCACACAACCGGAAAAACCACGGCCAAGGCTGCTGTCATAAAATCATTTATGTCAGTTATAGGGAAGAGTCAGTAAAAAGTAGGTAAGAGGAGTCAAGATTTAGTACGCTTCTGCTGCTTAAATAAGTACAGTAAAATAGTAATCTTTTTACAGATGAGTTTTAAAATGCAACAGCATTATAGAAGTCCATTTAACTTACCAAACTTCGTACTAAATATCTCTTCTACTTGCTTCCTTAGCTTTGTGATCCTGACATTCCAATCTTCTTTCTCTGAAAACCAGAAATGGATATATGTCAGAGTATTACCCAGTTCTAGATAAAGAGGCTCATTTAAACACATTTCTTTCAACACAAGAACTTGTGAACAATCAACACAATCACATCTGAGAAGACAAGGACACACAATGAGTTACGATCATTAATGGCAGCTTAAATGATACAAGCAGTTCCCTCTGCATAATGGAAAATCTGTTTAAATGTGGTTACAAATTTCAAGCCTTGGCCCAAGTGGGAGAACTTGTTTTTCAAAGCGTTCAGATGCAGGAAGGAATTATTCTAGTGGCTCTTACGAAGTTGGAATTAATTAATCATTGTGCAAAAGAATAACACTCTTCAGAACACAAGATGAGGATTTAAAGAACGCTCTGCTAAACGTTTTGATTAGCATTAAAATATCATCTCCAGTCCTGTTCTCTATTGTGAATAAAAGCCAGTTATAGGAGTGCTAGCCAGAGCAGACAATTTGTAGCTTAGGTAGAGCAGCAAGCAAAGGACAGTCGCAGCAATAAAAAGCCCTTCTCTTCTGACAGACTGCATCACAATTCATTACGTCTCATCATAACCCACAAACAGCAATTAACTGCTACCGAGCTAAAAGCATTCGGAGTTGTGGAAAGCATGCAGGAAGAAAGCTATGCAGGATTTTTTTGTTTCTCAACCACGTTTTTGACTAACAAATTACCTGACCTTGTTTACTTCTTGCCTTGTACATTTTCAAGGCAAGAGGCATTCATACTTTTTGGAATCTGGCCCACTTATTTGATAGATTTCACACGTATTTAACCCTTGCATATATGTTTGTACTTATTCACATGTCATCATCTTACTGTCAAAGGAATTAGACTAATAAAAATCAAAATGCTGTTCACAGAATATCTGTTGAGGGCACAAGATTACTACTTGGCAACAGATTAGTATTTTGCTTTAAAAGAAGTTCCTTTTGAAAGGACCTTTAAGAAAGGTCTAATATTCTTTAGCGACATAAAGTTTCCATCTGCAGTAAGATGATCCTCAGCCTTTTGCCTGAGAAGATGGTTTTCACCAGGCTCTAAGCCCGAGAGAACATTTGCTGTGTTTGCCAGTCTCACATCAAACCCTGGATCCTGGTAAGCTTTGTGGGCACTGGTAATACCAGATTCGCCTATAAGCTAGTTATTTCACTCCATTTTTCACTAGTACAAACAAGAAATGTTATTCTGAACATTCAAACCGTCTGAGTTTTAAGAATCATGACCACTGCACGTCAGTTCTGACAGAAAAAAGAGTTTATTAGCTGTTTTTTTACTGCTATCATTGGCACCTGTTGCTACTACTTCGTAGTCAAACTGTCAGTTATACTGTCAAATTTGATGATAATCAGGGTTTTGGCAACAAAACAAAGAAAAAATAATAAGTGCTGCCTTTTCCTTCTGTTACACATTTAAGAGCATCTTTTCTAATGAGCTACCCTCTTGCTGAACACGTGCCTTTACCTACACCTAAACAAAATCCACAATACCTTGTGATGATGTAAGACGACTACTGATTGCAGGATTACTAAATCGCACTATTTTCTTTTTTTTTCCCTGTAGCAAGCTCTGCACAATTATTTCCTTGAGCTTCAGGTTGTTTATCCAGTGAAACGTCTAGGAAGCCCTGGAATCGGGTTGCGTTATTAGCACAAGCAGATTCATACTCCTAAAAAACCTTAACATCTGGATTGTACACTTCTGTAGCAAGGAAGTGCCAATGCACTCCAGTTCACAGCATCTGGTTCTTGTGTTGAAGGCACTTCACTCTTCAAGAAGTCACTACAATTCCTACCAACCGAGGCCTGAAAAAAGCCCAACGGAGTCAGCTGAGGGGCTCCAGAGCTCCGATTCCAGCCACAACGGCAACTCCAGCTCTCCCGGGCTGTGAAGGCTCCAGTTACTCAGTCTGCTGGACTGAGATCCAGAAAGCCATCCGTGTTCATAATAATCAACTTCTTTTTTTTTTTCAGACCTCATGAAGGGTATGTCAGCACACTCATGACAGAACGGTTAATTCTTGAAAAACGTTGCATTGATCCAAATGTGTTTCCCTACCAAAACCTTTCACTCCCGCTTGGTGACAGCACCTGGCTTACCTTGGCTGTTCGGCGTGGGCTGAACAACTTCAGGTGAAGCAACAGTTACCAGCTCTGGTCTGCAAGCAGAAAACAAACAGGCTGTGCATTCTTGACATAAAATAACTCCTACTACTTACTATGACATGAATTGAAATGCTTGAATTCGTCCATCATGTATTTCACACTTGTGAACATGCTACAAAAATATCTTGGAAGACTTGCCTGAACTGAAAATATCCACTTTACAATGCAGAATATTTAATCTGCCTGTTTAGTAACTAGAGATCAAATGCTTCATGTCTTAACAAACCCAAGCGCTCAATTGCACAAAGGGTGTTTGGCCTCTTCCTTAAAACAAAACAAATAAACTCCAAAAACCCCATGTCTAAGCGTTAAAACAAACACTCACCTTTTGATCACAAATTTTATTTGGCTGCCCTCTTGAATTATTTTTTCAAGGCGAGGGATTCCATAACAAGAGGGACTCCTAAAGGGGATGTTGTCTGGCAGTCCTTCGACCCAGAGCTCTTTAGGATGGGCTTCAAATTTCTGGTAGGGAACAGCTTTTGGCTCAGTGCTGCCCAGGGCCTCGGCTGTTAGAACAAAATACATGCAGTAACTGGTCAGTCTGGCCATCACCCTTTATTAAAAAGCTAGCTAAGATACCAAGTCTTCAGGCTGTTGCAAGCATGACCTTAGAACCTGAGAAAATGTAGAATATCTAAACCCAGCAGAGTCCAAGTCTCAGCTCATCAAAACCCTAAAAATTTACCATATTGTGTCACGTTGCTACTGGGCAGTCTCAACGCCAGACTGACAATAACTGGTTTCCTCGCCGGGGCGTAATACAGGGGTTTCATCCAAAGTTTTTAATCTATTATAGAGCATCATGCAACATTTCATTCTAGATCTTAGGAAGCTGACCCTTTTTTTTCTTTTTTAATACTGGAGAGAAGATTAAAATTCACTCAGGAATGTTCTAATTTTAATGGTACTGCAATGGATATAAATAAGTAAATGCTTATTTTATTCACCATCAAAGGGGAAAAAAAAATCCAAACTGGAAGGAATTGAGAGCAATTAGAAGAGCTGTACATATAAGACAAATGATTTTTTTTAACTGTGAATTTACCATGTTGTATAAGCAGTAGATTAATATGTTCTTTTTTACTCAACTGTCAGGATTTTAAATACTTGAAAAAACTGATCAAAGGTCTCATTCATGCAGATGTTCAAAGGAACCAAGGAAAGCAACCTTCAAGAAACACGAAGTCATAAAAGAAAAGAAAATAGTAATACTGCACTCACCAAACTTTTTGCAGAAGAGTTGATCCACCATCTTTCTCAGTTTGGTGATCTTGGCATACCACTCCTCCTTCACTGTATTTGAGAGCGATACAGAACAAAACCAACATTCCCTAATTATTTTGGTTATATTTTCAGTCATTCATTTCAGAGCATGCACAACCATTCTGCATCTTCAGGTAACTCAGAGAATACTATGCAGAAGAAGTAAGAATTCAACTTGGAACCAGGAAAATTAATTATAAAAAATGGCAGAACACTAAAACTGCACAAAAATCCATCAAACCAGTGGCATTGCTCTTACTACAAAATACACACAGTGCCGTGGCATGAAGAATTGCAATGCTTTCAAAGTCTGCCTCCAATCTGTAGATGCCATTTGGAGATGGGATTAGTTTTTTTGCCAGTTCCACTGTCTAAAAAAAAATCTTGATATTCAGTGCAGAATTCAGTATATGTATGGGACGAAAACTTGCTTTCAAGGAATTTTCCCCAAAGAGAGCAGTTTGCTCCCTGCTGCACCTTCCTGTCGAACTTCCAGCATCCATTCCTCCCACTGTCAGTGGACAATACTGTTTAAGTGTTCATCGATAACTATATCAAATGATTCTAGGGATTCTGTCATTCTTCTTGCAGCTTAGTTCCAACTTTCCAAAACATTTACTTGACACTAAGACATGAGTCAAGGCATAACTTAGACACAGAACCACATATGCAGCACTTACATAGATTAGCATATCCTTGTTAATTAAAGAAGATTAAATATAGGTTTTCCATCATTTTATTACTTGAGCACCTGTATTGATGGGCCAATACACACGCAACTTGGAGTTCATGAGACAAAGTTTTGCACCTGAAGATAGTCTCGAGTTTGAGTTCTGCTCCTCCAGCAGAACAACAGCGCACAACGTTAGTGCTGTCGTAGTTGGTAGCAGAAAAAGTAAAAGCTTTAGTTTCTGTGTTGTCGTGTGTGTTTGTCCTTTGGGATTGTGACTGGTACCCCCGATCCCAAGCCCTGCTAAGGTGGTTAGCACAACCAACACCATTTATAAGGCAGGCAGCCATTCTCTGCGACTGACTGAGCGGGTCACCTGTTTGTTCCCTTTCTCTTCATTCTCCGGCCCTGAAGGTCCTACATTGATTCTGCTTGTAGAAACCGTGCACCACCCTAATCATGAATTCTATGCTATACTAAGTATAATATCCTGTTAAAAACCTAAAGCTTTAATTTTTACAATGTAGTGCTACTACCATTCTGCCAAGGACCCCTAAAAGAACCTGTCCATCCCCTCAGTGTCAAGTGACAGGGATCAAAGCACACATACAAATCACTTCTTTCTTCTCAATATGTCTCTGTGACCAACGACTGGAAGCTCATGAGTCCTGGACAAGGTTCTGGAGAGCTGCCACGCTGTGGGTTTAGTCAGCACGCACAAGCAACGACTTCTGCTCCATAACCGCACTGCAGCATGCTGGGCTGTCTCCACGGGCACCTGCTCACACTTCTCCAGCCGCCTCCTGGAGCCAAAGCATCACTGCCTGCATGGTTTGTCCTGGAGCCAGTATCAGCCTTCTCAGGGCTTCAGGGTTGAGCCACTTCACGACTAGCCTGTTTCCCACAGGAATGCGGACGGAAATAGTCTTTCTTCTGGTGGTGAAAACAACTTCCGTGCTCATCCCATGCCTCTCCTCCTGGGGACACGGAGGTGCGAGGAGCCAAGAGCAGAGGCTGGTTCTACACGGTTCTCTCGGCTGAGATGGCAGCAGAGATGTGGAGCAGGGCAGGAGATGATGAGCTGCCAGGGAGGAGGGAATCCACACAGGGAGAAGAGCAAACGGAGGGAAAAATGGCTCAGAGAGCTCCTGTCTTCTGAGCGATGCTCCCCAAGATGTTACCAACAGCTTTCACAGAAGTTGTCTTCTTTCAGAATTAATGCAGAGGTCACACGTGAATATATCATCGTTACGAGTTCGCACAGACAAGGAACATAACGTGACTGTTCATAACACTGTGCCACAGAAGTGGGCTACTACGAGTTTTCTTAGCTATGAGGGTTTTATAGGATACAGAATACACCTGCTTTGTTTTCATAATTAAGTGTAACCATATTAAACACAACAAAAACAGAGAAAAGGGCTAATTTAAAAACTCCCATAAGCTACAGTTAAGTTTAAGACTCAGTCATTAGCCCTCCTACTATTTTTGTAGTAAGATGTGGTGCCTGAAGGTACAGCAGGTTATTAAGACTCAAGACACTAGGTCTTAAGCTGCAGGAAAAGCTTAAATCCTACACACATGTTGAAGTGACATCCTTGTGACTTAATTTCTTTTTTTAATTCAGATCCTAACTATTTACTTTACATACAGTCTTTGATATATTTTTTACAATAGATGACTACGAATACATAATAAAACATAATGGTGCTGCAGTAGCGCAGATACTACCATCTGTACGCTTGCACATCCTTTTCTGCACCAAGAAATTCTCTGATATTAGTAAAAATTCAAACTTCAACCAGGCTGAGGTTGGTAGTTAGAATTTTAGGGTTGGGAGTAACTTGTTAGCTACCACTGGCTGAGGCATACAAGCTTTCAACACTTGGCTTAACTGGACAGTTAAAAAAACCACCCTGAAGCCCAAGAAACAGTTGAATACAATTGAAGAAAAAAACCAAGTCCAGGGAAGTAATTCACCAACTAGTGCCCATGCAAAGGCACAGCTTTTTTAAAACTTGAAATTATTTCCATACTAAGTTTTTTCTCCCAGCTTGAGGGGAAATGAGTTCGTAGGTGCAACTGGAACAATAATTTATTTGTGCAGTCTTGTTTTCACGTGGTCAGTTTTGTTACCTCTGGATGGGTGCTCAGAGACAAAACGTGTAAGAGCACGCATCTGCCGAAAAGTATTCCTGATGGCAAACGTGGTTAGATTGCATTGTCTTTGCACTACTACGTGAAAATGAAGTTTCATCACCTGAACAAGTCAGATTGTACAATAATAAATGTCACTATAACCAGCATGTTCATTACTGCATTTCAGCTAAAATAATTTTGGCAAATACCATATATAAGCAGATATTCCATGATACAGACAGTTCCCTAATTGCTATCAACTATGAAAACTTCTGCCTTTTCCATATATCTCAAGAGACTAACACTTAGCTCATGGTTCTTCCTTCTGGCCAGCAGAATCAAATCAGAGCTAGGGTGTTAGGAAGATTGGCTTAGGGTAGCCAGTGGAAAATTGCCATCACTTGGTAGGAAATTCAAAACAAAAGAAATTCAAAACAAGAGGAATTATTTGCAACGTGTAATTAGTAAAAGCAGACAGCAGCCACTCCTAGGACTGAAAAATCATATTGTACTTGTACAACTCACACGTTTGAAGACTTACCTCCTGCAACTGGTTTGTCCGATGGTACGTCTTCTCGTGTACAGTTCAAAAGCTCATGCCTACAAGATTTAAGATATGTGCTTCAGAAAAAAAAACACAAACCAAACCAAACCAAAAACCCTAATCCAAAAAAACCCAGGGGACATCACTATCCCCAATACCATATTGCAGTTAACATCAAAATATTATAAGAGCTGGTTGAACACTACTGACAAAATCATTTTTCACGCTTGATACCATAATATTTCGTGGTAACAGAGAGAAAATTTTAATATAATCTGTGAGACCTAAGATGCATTTCACCACAAACAAAGATCCAAATCCAAAATTTAACCTTTAAAAATTAAAATCACAAACCAGATGTTTGAAGTAAAGCACCAATCTATAAAAGGTCAGCAGAATCAAATCCACTGACGGCCAAAGCAGTATTGCTCTGCTGCAGCCGCAATCCTGAGCGCTCTGCAGCTCCGAGACCCAGTGCTCGGCATCCCCAGATGTTGGCACCTGTCCCTGCCCAGCCCCAGTTCAGGCTCTGTCCAGGCTCCCTTTCAATCCCACCTGCCTTTGCAGAAAGTAATGTCAGGGATCTTTGAGAAAAGACACCAAGGCCAGAAAAAGAAACTGAAAGGAGCCCAGAATATCTCGTGAGTCTCATCCTGATGTTAAGGGGACACGATGTCCCACCAGGCAGCTATGGCAGGCAACTGAGCGCTCAGGCTGTTGCTCTCTATATCGTAGTCTCCCTCCACTATCTGATGGACCTCCAGGCACACCAAGGACACACATCCAACTAAATCACAGCAACCAGCAGCTATTTTGGTCTCAGACAGCATGAAATATCCCCACGTCAATGGCTTTCAACGTGTATTACAGCCGCAGAGATTAAATAGCACAAAGAGATCTGTCCATGACAAGAAGTCCATAATATTGAAGAGATCTGTCCAGATCTCAGACACCACTGTGCTGCCTTAGTGATCTGATAAGCTGAACTTATTGGAGTGAGCATCAGCTAAAAATTACTTATGAGTACAGCAAAAGAATATACTGGTAGAAATCAGCTTGGAAGTTCCTGAAGACAAACCGAAGCAGAGTTGAACCAACAGAAAACAGTGAGTAATATAGGGACAAAACCGCAAAATTCCTTACTTTTTAATCACAAACCGGATCCGCTCCTTTGCCAGAAGTATCCTCTCAAGACGGGGAATGCCGTACGTGGACGGTCGCCTGAAGGGAACTCCTTCTGGTAGCCCTTCCACGTACAAGTCTTCCACATGAGACTGGAAGAGTGGGTACGGGATAGTCACTGGACCTTTTGCTTGTATAGCTTGAGCTTTAAGAAAAAAGGAGAATAAAAGCATTAGACTAGCTTGTGGCTCTACTCAGATTATCTGTTTGATATCACTCAAAACTGTCAAAACTAGCAGAGGCAATAACCCCCTCAGCACACTTAAATACGCAAGGATTCATATATGCAGGGGGTTTGTTTTTGTTTTATAGCAAAATCACTCCAATCCACACTAAACAAGTTGATTCACACTAAACAAGTTGATTCTAAACAAGAGATTCACCCTCAGCTGGAAAATAACCTCAGTATATTTCTCCAAGTCACAAGGGCTGCAATCGTATCATTACGCCAATCAAGTCGGCAAATACCGGAGAGTGGGATGATGGTTTGCAAATACCAGGAGGGCTGATTTCTTTCTACTCAAAAGAGTACATTAATTTTGTAGGCCACACACAAAAAAAATTCTCTACTACCATCTGACCAGCCTGTAAATAGTTTGGCACGGAAATCAGGTGCAAAACATTATTTGAGGAGAGAAAGGCCAAGCTAAGGCCAAATTAGAGTAGAGTGACACGGCAGCATTTCCAAAAGCAGAACTACTCAAGGCACTTTTTCAAGAAGCTTAATATAATGTGAAAGTGGCCCATGGTGCAGACATCGGTATACACAAAATGCTCACATTAACTCACAAGTTTTTAAAAGCAATAAAAGAATTTAGGCTTTGAAGGCATTTGAGTAACGTATTCTTTCCACCGCTTGGAAGCTGAACAGCTTTAGGTATGTTTATCACAAAATAGCGCAGCTTTGAAAATATCATACATATCTTAGTCTTCTACTCGGATGAGAATCAAGATTCAAAATTTTAGTAAACTGTGTTTTAACCAGATGTGGTACCAACTGCCAGATGTAAGATGGCCAAAACTAGAGTCAGGGAATAGCTATGTACCCAGAGACATGAACCCAAAGATGACTCTCAAGCCAAAGAAACTCCACCAGACCCATGTCAAATTAGCTGCAGGACAATCACCATGAGCTGCTCTGTGTCTCATCAGTCCTTCCTTAAAAGTAGATTTTTACTGCAGTCATACACCTCCTCACGAAACTAAAAATGTATTCTCAGCCCTGGAGGCTGCTGTGGCAAGTGGTGACAAGCGTAACAAATCCGGCCGATGAGGCTCAGATGGAAGGGAGCATTTGTGAATAAAAAAGATCAAGAACATGGCTAAAATCTAGATTGCATAGCATCAGGCAAGAACAACTTCAGAGTAACAGAAATCCTGCTTAAGTAACTAACTAACAACAGGTAAGTTTTTACAAATGAGAGTCTTTATTTCTCTAAATCAGCAAACGTTTTCGCAAGTACTTACATAAATGAGTCTGTATTTGTGAGCAATTATCTTGTATTTATACTATTAAAAAATAAGCCCATTTAGTTTATATCTACACATAAAAATAAATCTATTTTCAGGTATGTCAGTTGTAACAGACGGCAGTGACTACACCTTGGAGCTCCAGAAGCCAACAACTCCCAGTATTCTGGAAGTTCCGGACATCCATAACTTATTTCAGCAAATGGGACACTGCATGCCCATACAGATAGGAAGAACTGGAATCTGATACAGAACTGGTTTGTGAGTCAATGAAAAGTTGTCATCCACAGGGAAAAGGGGATCGTTTCACACCGTCTGGCCTGCTACAGAAAGTCAGCAATGCCTCTGTATTCAACAGACTCCTCAGGAGATTTCTAGGCTGGCTATGTGCAAACACCAAAACCAAAATTAAAGCAATTCACCAGGAATGACGCTCCTTTCTAGAGCAACTGAAATACTGTGAATCAGATTCCAAACTGTTTTTTACTCGGTGCGAGCTGCTCTCAGTTGGTTGTTTAAATGTCAGATGACAGTCACATTTGAAACATGGGGTAACTCCAACATCACAAGGTCCATCCTGAAAGTACTTCCATTTTTCACTGCAGAGGAGCACCACTGTTTATTTTGAAATTTTTGCGGACGCTGTTTCAGTGAACACAAAATGCATCTAAATGCAACATCTGCAGACAAATTCTGAAGTCTAACATGTGCTGCTTCTCTCTCCAAGAACTACTAACATATAATGGATGCTTCACTGCAAATCAATCATAATCAGAAATGGACAATCAATCAGTGGCAACCTCTCCCCAGAGCCTTTTTAGAAGATTATTTCACTCAGTGTAATTACAGAAAAAAGGCCAAGCTCTCTCAAATGTGGGTGGCCCCAGACACAAGCCTGCTGGAGCTCCAGTAAACAGCACAACTGGAAAATAAAATCAAGTTTCACACTTAGGTACTGAACGCGGGCATCCAATCTGCTCATCAGAAAAAGCTCCTTTTCCCAGTTTTAGGTCTTCTAATAATACTTAACCTCTCGGTGTTGTCAGTACTGGTGTGCTCTGGAGCCAACAACAAAATGCACGCCAAAGAACTGCAATTTACGGTGTCAAAAGAGTAGAGCTAATTGTTTGGAAAGGAGCGTAACACATACCGTATTTTTTTTCAAACAGCTCCTCAACTTGCTTTCTCAAGTTTGTAATTCTCGCATTCCATTTCTCTGCAAAGAAAAGAGGAGGACATGTCAGACTACAAGTGAAACTGAGAATATATTAGAAAATCTACGTTACCACCAGCTGAAATATTCAGCGTGCTTTTACTGCTCACTTGCATACAGGTGCCTGGGGAGTACTGTATAGGCTATAGCTTAAAATATATGGATACACTCAGAAAGCAAAAGGACAGAATAAAATATTTAAGGCTACCTCCAAAACTTACAAAGATATTCAATCAAGTTTAAAAAAATAAAACAAAAACAACCCAACCATAAACCAGGCTAAATTTTACTTCCAGAAACTGTTTCTCTTTGATGGCTGGGTCAGCAGCTCTCACTGCCATCAGGAGTAAAGTCAGTTTGCAGCCGCTGTTGACAGTTATCTAAATCTGGGTGCTGAAAAGCTTAATTTGAGAAGCTTGACGAAGCTTACAGCGAGTACATGAAGATGGTTTTGGCGCAAATCTGCACAACTATCTGGGTCAGGAGGCACTGTGCCAGCCTCTACCTTAATCCAGTATTTCTCAAAGTCCTGATGTTGCAAAACATCCCCATAAATCCTATTTCTGAAAGAAGATACAGGCTGCAAGACTGAAGTTATCCAAATCCAATCGTGTGTTCCATGGAGAGCTGGATTAAACAGCAGAATTTTAACATCTAATTTTCTGTCTGCAACAGAGGACACATTTTCACAGTTGGCTTTTTTTACTATCTCAATGCTTTCAGGAAAATGCCATAACCCTTTTGTAGATGGTACCAGGTGCTGGCTGGCCTATTCAGAATGAGTTAATAAACAAGCGTACAGCTTATTTCTTACACCAAAGACTTGAATCTAGTAACTACAGAGGTCAAAAAATGAGGCCATTCAAGCTGATACACTTCCAGTTGTCAAAAAATCCTTGTATCAGACAAGACAGAGGATTGAATTTTGAGTCCATATCGAAAGGGCTTTAAATGTTCATTCTCAGACCAGCGTACACAATTTTAGTGGCCATGTTTAAGCTTATATTCTTTTAATGTCATTTCACGGATATCAATAGGACAGTGTGCTTCAGATGTGGGCAAGAATAAGACCTTGTTTAGGAGGGGAAAGGGTGTTTTGGCACACTGCCTTGCATCCGCACATCAACCTCTTCATTCTAGCTACCTGGCATATCACCTGCATCAATTAACCTGCTAACATTTTGAAAGAACATCCGTGTGGATAAATCTATAAAATTGCTTCTGCCACCTTTTTACTGCTATCCTGTAGCTCCCAGCTTTTTAGCTGACAGGCATGTCTTGAGCTCAATATTTTCTATTCCTGTGTCACTTCAACCTTGCAATATCTCCTCTCTAACTGCAGATGTATAGGCAGATGGAGCACACTCTGATTCCGGAACAATCACTGACCGCTGCAATACCTTTGCAAAGAGCCCTGGGCTCTTCAGTCAATATTTGCACCGGTGTGCCGCCCTCTTGCATTGTGAAACTGTTGAACATCTTTTCATAAAACAAAGCAAAGTGACAAAATAATTTTTAAATTTTATCTTACCAAAACTGAACTCTCTCACTCTTCTTCTCCTAGTGTTGGCAGCTTCATTAGCTGACTCTGTGTTCTTCCATTTCTTGTTAGGGGGGAAGTATTCCTCATCATCTTAAAGAAACATAAAAATATCACTATTTTAATGTCCAGAGAATTCATGTGCAGCATTGGAACTGCTATTTTTTAGTGAGCTGCTACTTAACCAGTCCCCTCCCAATCCAAAATGTTACCTCCCCTACCAGTTAAGGAGTTTTTAAGATTGTCCAATTATCAATACTTGAAACCTTAGAGAAAAGAAGTTGTTAAAGCAGACAAAGAAAAATAATTTCCCAGAACAGCATTTGCTCACATCACCAAGGGTATAGTTTCCTTAGGAAGAATAATATTGACATCTCTTACATCTATGCAGTTGTATATTTTATTAGAGGAAACCTTTTCAGAGCATTTTTACTTTTGTGGTAAAGGCCTTTACATACACACAGTGACTATTACCACCTTTTCTGTTGAGGTAACATAAGAATTATTTTACTGCTGGATTATGAAAAGGTGAAAGTAATGCCAGAAGTGTCAACTTTGTCCTAAAATGCATTGCCTCACTTCTAAATCGCTCATTCGGTGGTCTTAATCTTACCCATTCCAGAGGTAAACATTGCAAAAGTCAATCTCAAAAGTCTTTTAAAGGAGTTGCAGAATGTGTAATAAGACAGATCACACACAAAATAGAGCTGACTTCCAACCAGCATCCCAGCAGGAAAACCAAAAGGACACTGGTTAGTGGCTTTAGTGCCATTTAGAGAGAGAAAGGCAGGTGGTAAATAGGAAGGGGTTTATCTCGTGTTTATTAATATTAGACAGTGTGCTTATAGAAGAACATGTTCTTCAGAATCTATGTTGTAAAATCTTTAAATTCTAAATTAATGGCAGTCAAATAACAAGTATTCTTCATTACAACTGCTTGAAAAATATGCACAAGATGCAAATCTGTCACACATAATTTCAAAACAGCCCAGCAAGTCCAACAAGCTTCAGTATATTGTGGTTTTATAAAACTTCTGGGCCTAGGTATGTTTACCAAGCAGTGCACGACCCAAACTGCAGTCAACACTGGCACATAATCCTATTTGTTCCGTGCCAAGTAAAAGGCAGGCATGGCAAACCATCATCTGGACACAAAAACGCCCAATGGGCTCAAACCAACGAACTGGAGAACCAACCTTCGATGGTGACCTCGACCTCAGGATCCTCACTTGTTTCTGAAGGGGTGTGCTGGGAGGAATCTGAAGGGGGAAGAACAGGACTGCTGCATGATGGACGCAGAAAAGATTTTCGACCAAACATTCTGTGATTTCATATTTAAACTAAGACTTGTCAAAGAAGCCCCGGGCTCACTGAAACGTTCCGCACAGCAGGCAACGAAAACAGAACCAAAGATATTCGACCATAAGCCTTTAAGCAATTCTAGACAAGGGTAAGGAGGTGGGGATTATACTTGCTAAATTGCGTGTGCAGCGGTGTTCAGTTGGTGTTAATGACAGTGGGAAATTCCTTATTCTTGGCTTAATAGGATTAATACAATCATAAATATTTTTCCCTTTGTTATCGAGGATTACTGCAAACATAAACAAAGGCTGTGTGCCCCTACAGATGATATGTTTTTCTACCATTTATACAGACTCATAGTTGTTGCCCTGTAACGATTTCCATAACAGGCTGCAAGGCCAGCAGTGAAAAAAGAGAGGGAAATTCATAATCACAATGTTTTTGTCAGGGCAGTCTGCACCAATATAATAAATAGGATTAGGCCTATCAATACTCGGCAGGAGAAAGAACGATTTGCATTTAACTGCAGTTAAGTTTATAAAAGTGAAGCTAATTATATTGGAAACTATTTCAAAACGAAGCAGCAGCATATGAAGGAATATATTTCAATTATTCTGGCACAATAATGCAGTGCTTGCATGTTTTGAAGTGTACCTTTTTTTTGAGACCATAAGAAAAGTTAAAACAGAAAAAGAAATACAATTTTGGAACTCAAAGAATAGACACAAAGACTGGGTAAATGGACTGTCTAGTTCAAAATCCTGAGAAATAGCCACAATCAAGAAAAACACACAAAAATCCTCTAAGCAGCAGCCTTCCTCACAGTTGTAAACCTTGCCAGTCATTGGCAAGAAAACAATTTGGAAAATTGGAAAGAAACAAATTGGAAAGAAAACAATTTCTTTCAGTGCACAAAACCTTCACTTTCCGACGGCTGAACGTGAGCCCCATCACGCTCCCCACCCGTCCAGTCCCCCCAGGGCCTCGGACACCTTTACCAGCCACGGCTCAGCTGAGGGATTCCAGGGACGCGTTAATTTGGCCACTTCCTTTTTCACCATCTTAAGACTACTGGAAGGGAAGAACAGCGGAAATCCCCACTGATATGCACCAAAAGACCCATCTGTACAACTCCCTGACATTTTTCTTTGCAGAAAACAATAATTTCTATATATCTTTTGTGTGGCAGGCTGTAGCTTTCAGGAAAACAAAGTACTTAGGTTATTTCTTTTCAAATGAGTTAATAGTGCAGTCAGCAGCAGCAAAGAACTTTATTCTCCTTTATCAAGAGAAATGCTTTTAAATTTCATATCATGGTACCCTTAACCATGCTGATATTTACACTCAAAGTAAAATCAAAGAGATTTGCAAGAATGAGTGTTGCTGCTAGCATAACTTGGCCTTAACATCTCAGAAACACTCGTGACTCGGGTTTGAGAGTCAGGATGAAAGAAGCTGCAGAATGATGAACTTTTAACATAACGCCAAAGCGTTAAATGTCAGGTGACGAGCACCTTACAAATGCAATTCACGATTTAAAAGAAGGCCGAATCCCGTCACTACCTGCTTACAGTTATCCACAGAGCGGCACGATTTGGGAGATTAAAAACAAAACAAAAAAACCCCAAAGCCAACCGTGTGGAAATGTGGAGAAAGACTGGTTGAGAAGATGTACAACTTTAATTAAGGTGTCATCCTGACAAATATTTCTGAAAAAAAAAAATTATGTGAAATTCTCACGACAAACATTTCATTTCTCTAACCTTCTGCTGGTATTGTCACATCTGTTATTATATGAAATTCTCACGACAAACATTTCATTTTTCTAACCTTCTGCTGGTATTGTCACATCTGTTCCTTCACTGCAGTCAGAACCATGGTGGCTTCCTTTAGACAAATATAAAGTAAAAAACATACCATAATAAGAAAAAAAACAAAACCAAAAGGAACTTTTAACATTGACTATTCAGAGAAAGGAATTTTGTAAGCGAAAAAATCAAGAACTGTAATGTTCACACAAACAGCACACAGAAGGCTCAATTTCTGAATCTTAAACTCCGGACAGCAGGAGCTCTCTGAGGCTATATTCATGGGCTCAAATGACAATTATTATCTTCTAGTTTGTAAATGGGCAAATCAGTATTTTTAACACAGACAGCAAGAAGCTGATAAAACATACAATTTGGACTAAATTTATTTCAGACAGTGTGTTTCATGGAAGGAGTTCCTTGCTGTATATGAACAGACGTTCCGTATACTTGGTTTTATACACACTCATTCACCTCACACACAGCTGAAAGAAGGAAACGATCAAGTTGGACTCACAGTACAGAACCAGACTATTAAACTTTATCACCACTTACTTAACAGACTAAATTTAACGGGAAACTTGCACAGATTATTAGACATCGACTTGACATTCCTTTACAAATTTAGAAAAGAAGAGATTCCCTTCTCTACTTGGACACTTGAAAATTAAATGAACTAAAATTTTCATTTCTGTTGAAGGTTAAGTTCCAATACTTTAGCTCTTACTTCAAACTAAGGAAACAGAGCCTTGAAAAGAAAAAAAACCACTCACACATTCAATTTCCAAAAATAGATGTGAGAAAAAACCCCCACAACTAAAAGATCTACCTGGGTAACTTCTTGTAAGAGCAACTGTTTCATCCACCTCTGACGTTTCGGAAAAGCCTCCTTGGGACGAGCCTGCTTCGGGAGAGCCTGCAATGAGAACGGCTTTTAAATTGTGTCTCACAACAAACATATTTCCAGTCTAGAGAGGCATTTGCAAGTAACTCTTAACTTCACATATCATATGCTCATTTCATACTTGCCGTAATGCTGAACTTAGGAAAGACCTGTGTGAAATATTAATAACATAGAAATCCTTACTCATCCAGTTCAACAGAACAGAACTGGGGAGGGCTAAGGGCAGGGTGTGGGACTACCCAGCAGTCAGAGACTCATGCAGAACAGCAGGTTTTCAGGGTTTTTTTGGTGTTAATAAACTAAATTTAAACCAAGAACTGTCGATGGTTCCGCCTTTTTAAAATCAATTTTAATCACCTAGATTTTTTCTTGTTTGTTAAAATGTATATTCCCTTCTGACTTTTAAAATTTCCACCTCCATTAAACAGACAAATTCAGGGAGACGAAAAATTACTTAGGACACTCCAAGTTTGTTCACTTTCCATCACAGCAGCTCTTTCGACAGCTATACACGGGCTGCTTTAGAAAGGCTGTTGCAGAATGCAGCACACAAGCGACTCTTAAAGGATTAAATCAACACCCCTAAAAACATCCCACTGCATAACGCTTTGGCACTCCTGCAGCTACACAGAAAAGCGGGAACTGCTTAGGGCACAAATGGCTTCGCACCGAGCTAGAGATCATTTCATACCACAGAAGGAGCACAGGTCCCCAACGCCAGCCTGTATGCAGCACACAGCAACGTCACACCAGGACTGACTGGAACTCAAGGATTTGGACTAATTATTTGATGAGAATCACATGATTTCTGTGTCTGCAGAAGATCATAGAGCCTCCAGAAATTACAGCTCTTCACAGAGGTGGGTTTATAAGTGTACCGGCTATGAATATTAAGAGCTTCACAAGAGAAAAGCTACTGTTAACTAAGGCAAGTGAAATATTTTCAACTCTTGTTTGCTAGGCACAGTAAGCAAGGAAATACAGGAACGACTGCTGTCACAGCCAAACTTCACACTATTTCCGTCAACTGGAAGCACATACACAGCATCAAATACTACAACTTACTCAAGAAAATGAGTATTTAGGGATTAAAGAAGAAGCAGTTATTTGGGTTTTAGACTAATGCTAGTTTGAGATAGTTCTAATTTGACTGCTCAGATTTTCAAGGGGATTTTAGCAGGATTTCAAGTGAGGAGCCTACAGAAGGTTCTTGGTTTCACACGCATTTCTTTCAGTAAGCGCTGGTTTAATCTGCTCCTGCCACATCTTCTTTGCTGGAGGGGATGTTTGGGCTGGTTTTTTTGTCTGCTTAACTCAGAGGAGCTCCCTGATTTGGTTCAAAGCACAGCTCCAGCAAGAGTGCAACTGGCAGAGCCAGGACCTTAGTCCAAAGATGGGAAGGGGCAGGGAAAGGGGCAGGGCAGAAGCCAGAGACAGCGGTGATGCCCTGAGAAGAAATTCTCCTCGGAACAGTGCGATTTGCAACTGCTGTGGGTGAGAGGGAACAGAACACAGCCTTCCTGTGTGCTGGAAACCGTCTCCATGGACCAAATTTGCTTTTATTTAAATAAGCATATTGAGTGCATGCAGCCAGGCGGGTATGTCATTTCCTAAGAACTCTTCTGAACAGGCAATTACTACAATTCATAACACACTGACACACAGAAGCACGCACCCCCATTATAAACAAATATCCTATTATAAAGCAGATTTTTGTGTTTATTCCTGAATTCAGAAATCCTGACAGGACTGGTTTACCTACATATTCTGCAGTAGTTTCTGTACTGCACTATCTTAGTGCCAAGTGCACCCTGCAACACAAATAAAAAAGGAAAAACAGGAGCCTTTGACACATTCAAATGCGAAAAATGATTCCTCTAGTTAAAAGGATACACTTACTGGGCTTAGAGCCCTTGGGATTAGGCACAGTGAATTCAGTTCCTTAATCTTTAATGCCAATAAAAGCTACAATACGTCAGATTTTTTTAAAAGCGACCCACACAACTGATTTTACGAAACTTGCTTTTTTTGTTTTCATTTATATTGCTTTGGCAGAGGAAAAATACAGTTTTAGCAATTACAAAGTTTAAAAAAATATATTCTCCTGGCTTACTTTAGTAAAGACTAGAAAACTAAATTTACAACAATTCTGAAAGTTCACCACCAGGAGATATTAACAAAAGCAGACATGTTTCCATTTCACCACATTCATGCATGTAACTGGCAGATACACTCAAAACATCAGTAAGAAAAGAGAAAATCAAGTACAGTGGTAACCATATCAAAAGAAATTCTGCCTAGAAATAGAAGTATGAGGAAATTACAAAAGAATAAAGAAAAAAAGGGAAAACAAAAAAAGAAAACTTGGGAGAGATCTTAACTCCAGTGCAGCAGGTAGGATGTAGGAAGAAGGACAGACACAAAGGTGGGAGCTTTAATTACTAAAACCACAGGACATGAGACACAAAATCTTGCAGTGTGGTTATGTCTTTGGAGTCTGAATTTAGGGTTAGTTGGCAAACTAAACAGTACTGCCTTGTATCAAAAAAAGCACCAAACATGCTCTCCAGTCAACAGCCAGTTCCGCTACGCGACACAGACGCTTAGACATGCCATGACGCGCAGACTAAAACCTCAGCTTTTGTGAGCAGTCAAACACCATCGCACCTAAATCACATCCTTGGGCTGGGATTCTGCACCGAAGTGAAACCTCGGCAAGAGGTGGCTACTGCCAGAAATTGAGAACTTCTGAAACGTCTATTGCAAATACGTAATTTTTCACATTCTAACAACTCCTTTGGGAAAAAAAATAGAATTAATGTTGACAGTCACGGCTATTCCGTCTGCTCACCCCCCAACAAACCAAAAGGGGTTCAAATCCCTCAGTTTCTCAGGGGTTACATCCTGACGCTGCCCAGCCAAGCCTGGCAGGGGGATGGATCCTCTCGTGGATCAGCATCGTCAGCAACGCTGCTTTTCTCATCTTTTTTTGCAATACACCGACAACAGCGACGCGGACAAGGGTAATATCAGAATGTCTTTAGGAAGCACAACACTGTGCCTTCGTGTTTCCTCAATATATCCTCCATTATTTCTTGGTTTAAGGTACTATCTATGTGCTGACTCTTACACTGTGGTGGTTAGAACCAGCCCCACTTTATACAGTTTTAGCCCCATTAAAGTGGACATTCCTTGCAGTACTCTGGGAGATGGCCAAAGGAGAAATATTTTGTTGTTAGAGACACAGTGAAAGACATTCAGGACTTTGAACATTCCACAGTGAGAATAAGCGCACAGGTTACATTCCCATTTGGGGCTTTCTTCCAGCAGAAGATATTTTCAAGTCTCATTTGCTTTTGGATGAATGTCCTGTGTTTTAACCGTCTCACTAAACATTTCCAGAAATTCCACAACTGACAGCACTGTTCAACTGCATAGTGCTTTAAAGAGAAAAGATGTTAGGCAGCTTTTACTCACTTCTAAGCAGTTGATAAGCTAAACCAGCCAGTTTATTAGATAGTGGTTTATAATCTGAACTGGCCAGTTCCCAGGACACACTTTTTCCAGCCTTTTCCTTCCACTTACAGTTCTCTTGTGCTTTAATTTCAAGATGTCAGTGGTAACTGAAGGCTTGCATCCACAAAACTCACAGGACAACATGACTCTTTCGGGAAATGTTTGGTCCTTAGTCATCAAATTACTCAGTTGTGCATGGGCTACATCTCCAAAACACCTCTCTTTATCCTGTGCAGCTGAAGAGGACTGAATGTGGCACATAACCATGAGAAATTTTTTTAACGTATTCCTGCTTCTTTGCAAATTGAAAAAAAAAATAGCTCTTAATTCTATTCTGTTAATTGATTCAGTGCAGAAACAGCATTTTAACTGATGTTTCTTTTCATGAAAGCCATAATAACTGGTACTTACAGATAAGGCACACGCAGGAATATTAACTCTGGTAGCTGGAACACTCCAGTATGCATTATTTAGTCCTGCAGATCTCTGCACAGTCCTTTTCCTCATTTAATCAGCAGTCAGAATTTGGACCTTTTTTCAAGAACAGGTTGTCTTTGGCATCACCCAAAGCATTTAACACTGCAATGATCTTCACATTTGTCCAAGATACTGGCAAAAAAATCGCCCACTGCCATACTGCTACCGCCCACTGATGGAAAATTGCCCCTAATGCTCTGTCAAAACACCCACATGAAGATTTTGATGGCTGTCTTCTTACTGTGTACTGCTAAAGCATTTCTAAATTTAGTAATCCAGGTCTAACTCATGGCAACATCCAAATGCTGCGACCTACTAGGAGATCATAAGAGATGAAGAGAGCGTCCACCTACAGGTATAATTATCCCCATCTGATTAACAGGAGAATTTCGCACGCAAGCACTTTGGTCAGCATTACAGATTGGTGAGAGGAAGCAAACACTCAGAGAAAAACAATAACCATGAAATTTCACCAGTAAATCATTTTCTCCAGGAAGCCCCAGGCACACCGCTGTTCTCTAACAGTTAAGTAGTTTCTTCTCATAAATTGACAAAGCCCAGCTTTTGCTGTCGCTTTATTTTTATTTTTTATTTTTTGCTGTATTTTTAGTAAAACCCACGACCCTCGCCTTTTTCTTTATTTTGTAGCATGTCTCTACAGAGGCAACGCTCGGGCAGACTTGTGTCACTCCTCAGGAGAACTGTCCTTCTCCAAGGTTTACTTCCCAGCCCAGCACCCTGGCGCACGCCCACACTCCTCCTCAATGTACAGCTCTCTGCTCCTTGCACAACCTTGGGTTTGAATCTGAGCAGCAGCAACTGGAACAAACAAAGGGGAAGCTGCTTTTCTCCCGGGAAGGCAGCACGCCACGGGAACATCTCTTCCAGCTCACAGCACCCCGCCGCTCCCACCGATACGCTCAGTTTTGTCTCGTTTTAAATGCAGGTTGGGAGGACTACGCTGGGAGGGAGGGGCGGTTATTAATCGAGCTCCGTTTTCGCTGGAAGAGATACATATT